CATTACCTTTGTCAAGAATAAAGAAATGTTTCTTCTAAAATGAAGAAGTAAATTAAATGCACGAATTAATACTTATAGTTACATCAAAGAATTGAATATATATAATGGGTCTAATAAATTAGGAGTACTAAAAGGAATGATAGACAAATTTGGAAAAAAAATACACCGTGAAATAATTGTTGGTCAGTAAGGAGTTTTCTTCATACTATTCAAGATGATTGAAATTAAATTATTCTGATACTTTTATTCCAGGCTGTTAATACAATTCGGAGTAGATGTCGCACACATACACACACAACAAGAAAACACAAACAATATTTCTTTACAACTGATTTGCATCACCAAGACACATATCTACTTGCATCCTTTTCCTCATTAGTTTAGGCTTAATTTCTAGTTTAGAGAGCATACCTACTGCACCTTGTGTCATTAGTCTTATTTTTCCAATCACTGGGATCCTGATTCTATAGATAGTTCTTTATCCGTGATGTTGAACTCGTCGTCATTGCCGTCTCGTGGTACATCTGTATTTTGCACATATTTGCCTCCCTTGCAACAAGGAGTGATAGAAGATGGTAAGGGACCCTCTAATAATTTTTTTGGCAAGTTTGAATTGAAATTTTGTGGAATAGCTTTAAGTTGACCGTAGCGAGTGCGCGACAAAACGGCTGGACGCCGCGCAACACCATGTTGAATTCGCGACTTCGCCTGAATTTCACTCATTTTTTCACTTACTCTTTCCTTTAAGATCTCCAACCGTTCGGCGGAGGTGAGCTTCGGATAGTCATAAGTAACGTAGTAGTTGTCATCATCACTCTCAGAATGCTCAGAATGAACCTCTATAGATGAATTTAAGCAATTAAAAGTATTAGAATATTTGAGGGGTTCAGGTGAATCACAAGTTGTTGCCTTTGAAGTAAATATAATTTCTGCATTGATAAGCGCATCAACCTCAATCAGACGCTGCGACTCCTCTTCCTGAAGCTGAATTTTAGACTTGCGTGCCTTTTTAGAGGCTATCTGGATTCGACTGATGGTTGAACCCGACTCAGCACAAGTATGAGCTTCCTGTGGTGTGTGCAAACAAGCTGGAATAAAAGCAGGTCCTCTCATTTCTACAGAATCACTAATAACTTTTTCCTCATCCGATTTTTGAATCGGAGTAGAACTCGTGCTGGATTGAATTGTAGAACTCATTGAGTTAGTTGTGAGAATAATAACGCTAGAAATATATATAGAAACAGTGGGTTGCTTTGAACCAGTTCAATTTATTCATTTGATAACACAAGAGAAAAAAGTGGAAGTTAAATCACTTTATTTAATTGAAAGAGGGTAAATAGTTCCCTACCTTCTATAGCATACTAACAGAAGCAAAAAAAAAAGTAAGATAGATGTAGGAAGATCATAACTCAGTATTAAAGTGAATTTGTGGTGCAACAATAGAAACGTTGTGAGTCGCTTCACACCATTTTTACAAAATATCATGTGGTTGTTTTTGATTGTAATGAGATAAAAATAGCATCAGTAAAGCAAAGACAATAATAAAAAGAAGGAAACATTACAAGACACGTCTCGCTGATGATTTATTTTCCATCGTAAAATTGCTTCGATATGACTCTAGTTAAGGCTAATAAAAGAAAAGACTTTCACTTAGAATCTCACTGCGAATTCAACGAACGTTGGTAGCGTGGACTGCTAAGTAGCTGTTGAGCATCCCGTACCATCGACGGTGTGATCTCCACTTGATCGACTCGTTTCTTAAGTTCCTCCCTAGTTTCATGGGATACAATACGATTATCAGAGTTTATCCTTAGCCCACTGACATCGTCAATATAGCAGTATCCCCTAACCCCGTCATAAACTGCATCCGGGGCTCCCACTGTGTAAGGTGGAGAGAAATCTCGTTTGTAATATCGCTGTCTGTTGAATTCGATATTTTCTAGTATCTCGTTAGATCGTCCAGATTGAAAACGACCTACCATAAAGGATATCACGCATCCCATAATCACAAGCGTGGAGCTCCATTCCATCCAAATCGTTCGTAGAAAGCCACGCTCACCATAGCGTGCTAAGAGTTCAGCGTTGTCTAAACCAAGCCACCATGCCCTTAAACGGATGAAAGGGCTAACCCGATGGCGAGATCGCGAAGAGGAAGATAACCTAGCTATCGTGGTTCGTACATACATATTTTCCCCCAATGCAATTGTGAGGAAAGTATGTGATGAAAACACACCAAAGAGCAACTACTCCAGTAAACAAGGTCAAATAATTGCGTATAATAGGAAATATGTAGAGCAGGGGAAAAGAGGCAGAGGAAAAAAGGGCGGTAATCCACGGTATAGTCTAAACTCTTAAATATCTAGCTCGGCTAAAATAAATGTAAACAAATGGGATGAAAATAATAGAAAAACTATATAAAATTTATATAACACTCACATCTTCGAGACAAAAAACAACCTGACTGATCAAAAGTACGGGATTCAATAACATATATTTATATAAATGAAACCACCATTAGGGGTGTAAAGTAATTTTATAAATTCCGAAAAAAAACCTTTTTTATATACAACTAATGTTGCTTTATTCTACCGCTCTTGTTTACTTTAATATAGGTTCAACATATTCATAGTGCTGTTTTTTATAGAAGATCTCCCTTCGCTACACACAGAAATTATATAGATCTGCGAAACATACCCCATCTTTTCTCATTTTATGGTTTGATTCGTTTTAGGAAATTGCTATAAATTAGAAAACATAAACCAGGAAATGATGTGTTCGCTGATAAGCGCAATAAATTAACACAGGGAGATATAGAAATTGCTATGAAATATTAGTTTTAGTAAACCATGAAATAAAAGCAATAAAAATTTTAATCAAAATCTTATATATATATATATGATATACCTTCAGAAGAATTAAAACGAAATTTCACTAATAAGTAAAAATGATATTTTTCAGAAATATAATATTTTTTCATTCAAAAAAAAGCTGTTTGAGTCACTGTTGACAAAAATAGGTATCAGTTTGGTTTAAAATATATGTCAAATCCGCCTTTTAAATAATCCGTATAGAAACCTATTCTATCAAAGAAAAGGGAAGCAACTTTTACAGTTTGTTCTGTCACTTCTCGGAGGTACCCCCATATTTATCGCGGAAAGACATACAGAAATCCACTTCTTGGCTACTGCCTAAAAAAACAGGAGTGCGCTGATGTATCAACTCCACCTTCTGGTCTAGGATACGACCCTTTCCATCCAAGGCCTTCCCGCCAGCCTGCTCTATGATGTAAGCCATTGGTGCTGCCTCATACAAAAGGCGCAACTTACCCGTTGGCTTATCCGTTGTTTGAGGGTAACAAAAGATGCCTCCATAAACCAGGGTACGATGAACATCAGGCACCATGGAGCCAACATACCTGTAGGAGTATGGCTTTTCTTCGTTTTCCTTAATGTGCATGACATATTTTTTGAACCATGGCTCCCATTTTCTGAAATAACCATCATTCGCGCTATAGATCGCGCGCTCATTTGGGATTTTGATCTGGGGATGCGTGAGAACAAACTCACCAATTCTTGGGTCCAATGTGAACCCATCGACACCTTGTCCAACACTCATGATAAGGCTCGTGGCACTTCCATACATGACGTACCCAGCTGAAACAATTTCATTACCATTCAGCTTCTGAAGTAAAGATTTGTTTTTTCCATCCAACTCAATATGTTCCCCTGGTGGTATGCGCCAGATGCACCAAATCGAGCCGATAGTGACGTTGGCATCAATGTTGCTGCTGCCATCCAGAGGATCGAAAAAAATGATGTAGTCGCCGGATTTATCGATGACGATGAGATCTTTCTCTTCCTCGCTCCCAAGGACGGCAACGCAAGTTGACGAGCCGAGGTAGGCCTTGAAGGCATTATTGGAGATTACATCCAGCTTCGCCTGCTGATCACCCGATGTGTTCTGTGGCACTCCCTCAATAACGCCAAACATGTTTTTCATTCCTGCCCTTCGAATATTTTTTTCGGTCACTTTGATGGCCGTTTGGAGAGCCATCATCAAAAGTGTAAAAGCACCACGACTCTGCTTTGGCTGACTTTGGATAAGAAACTGCGTCAAAGTAAGAGGCGCAAAGCTCATAACATCAAGATTCACTTTTCCTTTCTCCATTGTAAAATATTAAATCTTATTTCCCTGATTCTAAACATATGCACAAGCGAGGAAAGAAGGGTGAAAGAGAAAAAGTAGAGGACAAATAGTAAATGAGAGTAGCATGCAAATATATTACGCTCTTCCTTTTGAAAAGTTCTGAATTAAGCAAAAACCATCTAAACTATAAATGGTCTTCCAACATTCTGTGCAAAAAGTGTTCAGCGGACAACATTTCTGACATAATTTAGGTGAGGAAGGGGGGAAAAAACGTTTTAGTCTTATTGAATGAGGTAAAAAAATAATGGTAATACCATATTAAAAAGATATCACGTATTGCTGTCGCTTGGTGAGTGAGGATAATTGAAGAAAATATAAACGTGTGTGAGAGGTTAATAAAAGTTTCGATATTTCACCTTTTTTTTTCTTTTCACAAACACACTGCATTTTCTATATCTTACAACTTAAAAATCTTCAATAATTTGTAAAAAAAAACAAATATCCATAATCGGCAACCCTATATGATTAAATATCTTAGAGGCCGACAGTTTTCACCTCACCTCCGTATTGTCGATATCATTTCTACCACCACACCACAGCGATGCGGGACGAATACAGTGCACCACTCAAATCACCTGTCCAATAAAATCCAAAGCACATCCTTGATCCCACATCGTCTATTCG